ATCCTGAGGATATAATGTTCAAATGATGTTTGGGAGTAAAAGAATATTTATTAAAAAAGGGACATACCGGACCGATTTAGTTTAAAATACTGTGAAGTCTCTTAATTTCCAGCTAAAATACAATTATATTTGCCTGCACCAAAATTTTAAATTTCTCATTTTTAAAATGTCTCTTTCACGTTCATTTCTGTTATCTGAAGTTAAGGAGAAAATTTTAAACCTTGGGAAGACAGGAGGGAGGAAACATGAAATCTTGCTGGGAAATGAGGGGTGTGAAATATATCTGTTTTCTGTATAACAAAATGAAAGAAAAGAAGAAAAAGGCAGACTGGATCAAACTCATCCCTGACTGAACTCAGCTGAAATCAATGGTGATTCAGGAGGATTGAATGTGTCCAATCACATTTAGGTCTTTCAGGTCAGTGTCTTAGTGATTCAGCTGAGTCTTAAAAGGCTTGCAGAAGAGAACCAGGAGATATCTGTGGTACAGCAATATCCACTCTGCCTCCTACGCTTACGTGCTTCAAGGGGCCATAGAAAATCCCAACTATGGCCCGGAGTGAAGCAGTGAAACATACAAAGAGGAGAATAATTTGCATTGTGAGTGTTTTGATTTATCTGGTCTCATGAGTAATCAGTTCGCATGGCAGGGCTGCCTGTCTGGCCCTCGTTGGCCTCCTCTGTACTTAACTAAAAATAAAATGAAAACCAAATAGATAAAAGCTGCTGGGCTTTGAAACCTCACAGGTTTTTAGGCATTATTGCAATGGCTCCCTAAACTGTCGTTGAGACTTTTAAAGTCCTAGAGCAGTGAAAAGGGAAAATGGATTTTTTAAGAAAGGAGGAAAAGATGCACAGCTGTGTGCTTGCAGTGGTGGTTTTTAACCGTAAAACAGCCTGTTTTAAAAAAAAAACAAAACAACAAAACCAACCACCTCAGACAGGAGTGAATCCATGAGAAAAATAAGTAAATAAATAAATTAGGAAGAGAAAAATATGAGACGTACTGTAACCCAGTTTACTGATTTTGCCTCGTGATTAGTGTAATGCTCTATTAAGAACATAGCATGTGTTCCTTTGTTGGTGGCAAAGACATTCAGTGGAGAAAAAGAACGGTGTCATTGGGCTGTTTATGGGCAGGGAACAACACGCAAAGCGTTTGTAGTTCTCTTGAACAGAAAGCTCTAGTCCTTGGGGGTTCAGCCAGGTGGAAGGGAGTTCCAGGATGGAAAAAAGCAGAGATGGGAGCAGGAGAGTGTGGTGAGTGACCCCCTTGCAATGTGGTGCCATCAGCCCAACTCTTCATGGCCATATGGGGACAGGCATCTGAGGCTGCGGGAGCATTCGCAGAGCAGATGTTGGTAGAGGATTTCTGACCCCAGTGGAGCTCTCTGCCCACAGTTCGGTCTCTGTTCTGGGATGAGGGTTTACCCTCATGTGTTTCAGTATTTTGTGGAGCTAAAACAGATTGTGTGCTTGTCTCATGGTATCTACAGTGAAATTCCCTTGGCTTCCTCTGCTGGCATTGCTGCCAAAAGGGGATCAGTCTCAGGCTCTGAGAGCATTCAGAGTTCCTGAAAAGACAGGCAGAGGAGTCACTCCTGCATAAAGTCATCCTGGGATTTAGACCTATTTTTATAGGTCTCCATGCTCTGATTTATTTTTTTATCATAGTACTACATGCTCTGTTCCATACAGAAATTATTTGCAAGTCTCCGGTGCTGATACTACCAGAAGAGACTTCCCAGCATAATTAGCTGCCTGACGCACCTAGCTCCTTTACATATGTTTGGAAATCTGCCATTTAATTTGCTGCTCTAGAGTGGCTTGTTTACTAAAAAAATGCGGATCTCTTTCCAAAGGGTTTCTCTGTCAAAAACCTCTTTAAAAGGGTGTGATGCACAGCCTGCATAACTGCACTGCGAAAGCAAAGTTGCATTCTCTGAACGCGTCCACTTATTTGTCAACTTGAAAAAAAGTTGTAAAAAGAGATCTGAGTGCTCCTTGTCATGAAATTTTCTGGCACGTGGCTGAGGGAGGGCTGTGGTGATTTAACTGTGAGGTACTTGTAATGATTTAATTTTACTGTGAGGGTTTAATCACCTGACATCTGATAGATCCCCTCTGCATTTTCAATGCAGTGACACGTAGCATCACATCTCGTTTTTTAACGGCAGATGTACAGCACCAACCAAAGTCTGTCAGATCATACCATGTCGTGAACTATATATCGGGATAAAGCCACAGCCTTTGCACCGCACCGCTCCACTGATGAGGCAGTTATTCATAGACTCACAGACTAGACAGAAAGCTAAGTATGAGTTGCCAAGAGCAACTAAACTGCCAGGGATCCAGCTAAGGGTCACTGGAGCTTGGGAAAATATCTTTGCCACCTGCCATACCTCATTAGGCAGATCTTTGGGAATGGTGTAAAAGTTCTCTTTTGTAATCGAAGCCCACCATTGCAGGAAAACTCATCAGAAATCTGAGTAGAGTTATTTTCTCCTGGTGAAAAAAAAAAACAGTTTTTTTTGTAATCGAAGCCCACCATTACAGGAAAACTCATCAGAAATCTGAGTATAGTTATTTTCTCCTGGTGAAAAAAAAAAACAAAACAGAGATCAAAGCACATCAGGCTTAAGACTTAATTAAAAAAAAAAAAGAGAAAAATGAACTGCAGGTTCCCGTAAGGCAGACTTCTCCTCATACAGGTTTGGCAAAGTTACCTTTCGATAACATAACTGCTGCATCCTCCAAGCCATCCTGAAGGGAAGCTGCACTGTGCGTGTCTGCAGAGGTAGATTAGCTTCGTCATTCCTTGCTTCATCTCCTGCATTGGATCTTAAGAGGGCAATGCTTTTCACTCAAAAGCAAGTGTGTAGTACTTCGATACTAACTCAGCATCAGCTAAGCTTTAGGGACAAGAACGTCATATCAAATGTGCAGATCAAATGTCAATTTGAAAAAAATTTATTTTTCTGAGTCTTGTGGAAATAGCAAACAAAACAACTCTCCATATATGTGTATGTGTGTCTCCGTGGCCATAAAGAGAATATGCATTCCTGGACTACAATAACAGATGATATGTGCTTTGGTAATTAGAGCAAAGCCACAGACAGACAAAAGGTCATGTTTGGAATCTCATTTAGTAACTGCATGGTGTCTGAGTAACTTACTGTGCAGTAAGGAAATTCTTAGCATTTTAAACTACATTTTAAATCTACACAGCAGAGGGCACTAGTGTTATTGAATTGACCATAGAGTTGATATTTTGGTACTGAAAACATGAAGAGAGGGAAAAAAAATCACTTAGAAGACAAAGACTTGTCAACAAAGACTAAAGAAGCTGGTTGATGGTCTGTTTTCCATGTGTGGATTTATAAAGCTAAACCTTCATGTGTCTGTAGCATAACAGTCAGATATTGAACAGTAAATTACTCTAGTACAGAGTTCCAGATGGGTCTTTATGTAAAGCCCATTAAAATATTTCCATAGCGTTCTTCAAGACTTTAAATGAATTTTCCACTGTGTTTTTGTGCTGGCATTTTTTTTTTTTTTTTTCAGGGTATTTATGATTTAAAATTATCCTGATATGAAATGACTGCACCAAGACTTCCTGAATACTTAAGCTCTGAGCTGTGGAAAGCCACCTATATAATAGAAAGGACCTTTCTAGCATGTTCCTGCTGCTGCTATGATTCTCACTGCAGTATGTCAGCCTGACACAAAGCTCACCAGTTGAAGTGAGGAGTTGCAAGGCATTTTTTCCATCAGCTCCCCTCTACTTTAGCAGCATCAAGCCCAGTTAGTGTGGCCTTTTGCTAAAAAACGCATTTTGCTTCCTGTATTACCAAAGAAGAGGGGAAAAAAAGGTTTACTAATGTAAATAAATCCAAAGTTAAATCAAATGGTAGCTAGAAAAGCTAAGATTTGCTCTCACTGTCCCCCAGGAAACATTCCAGAGGAATGGCAAAATAGATCTTCTGTATTTATATACTAAACAAGATGCAGCTTAGACACAGAAAAATCAAACACAGTGACATAAATGAAGACACATCTAGAACTTTACATCCACATCTCGCAAAATGGTGGTCCTGTCTTCAAAATTGTGCACTCAGAGCAGCCAATAAGTAGCTGGTGACCAAGCTTGTGTTCGAAGCATACACAGATTTGAATTTTGCAGAAACCTGAGGTTTCCAGAATTCCCTGAGGGTCTTTGGCAGATTGTAGTTCTGAGAGGTATGTTTGATTGAGACATCCCTAGCACAGGAAAAAAGCCATGGGTAATTTTGGCCTTCAGCACAAGGAAAGAGCTGCTCTATGTGGCTGATTAATTGTTTGAGTCAATAACCAAAAATGGGAAGAATATAAGAAGTTTATTTTAAGAAGATAAAAAGAAACGTTTCTTCTAAAAATCTTTTTGCAACTGAGACATGGAAACACTTTGTTTTGGGTTGAACAATTTTTGCTAATCAGTCTCATAATAGCATAATTTATTTGCTACGATGAAGTCCTATATTCAAGTAAAATTTGGGGTGGATTTTTGTTTGGTTTTTTTTTTTGTTTGTTTCGTTTCAGTGGTTTTTGGTTGGTCAGGTTTTTTTTTTTACCCATGGAGCATATGTGTAGTGATAGAAAGGGAAGATTTTCTGGGTAAAGGAGTAGATGAAGGGAATGATGAGAGAGGTTTTTGGTTGGTCAGGTGTTTTTTTTTACCCATGGAGCGTATGTGTAGTGATGGAAAGGGAAGATTTTCTGGTTAAAGGAGTAGATGAAGGGAATGATGAGAGACACCAGATACCACCAGATGCAAGAAGTTGGAACTGGAGGGAAGTGCCTTGAAGTGCTTGCAGCATGATTTGGCATCATCAGCTCTACAGAAGCTGGCAAAGAAGCTACCAAATTGATCTTATACATACACTGACTGATGTTGAGGCCACTTGCTCTCTCATGACCTTTCTCATTTTTCCCTATATTTTCTCATTCTACAAATCCCATAGTTTTCCTGATCCTTCAGGGTGTCCGGGATACCAAGAATGAGATGGAAAGTAGCAAAAAGAAAAGTAGAAGAACCATCTTGCAAATCTGGCCTGTGATAGTGAATGGGGCTGATACAGAAGACAGAAGATTGCTGTATCTCTAGAAGCTACTAGTGCCACACCAGCCAGACAAGAATAACCATCAGCTCTGAAGCTGGACATAGCGGGCTGAGGTCTCAGCTCAGTTCCAGTGAAGACATTGCACCAGTGCAGTGGTCAAATAATTGGTTTGGTGTGTTTCTATATCTGTTTTATTACTTGTCAATGGAATTCCTTGTTCAGTCCAAGTCCTTAGGGGATATGTTTTAGAAGAATTTTTTTTAAAAATGAAAAAGGAAAGAAAGGACAAATCTACTGAATAAAAAAACCCCACCAAATGGCGACAAACGAAAATGCTATACAGTCACATTAACTATCACAGAACATAGTTAATTAATATTCAACAGCAAAATTCATAGATCACAGATCTTCACTAAGGAGCCTGAAATTTTTATTAGTCTCATTGATAGAATTCTTTTGACCACTATGGGCAGCTTCTTCTTCATTATGGTGCAAGAAAGATGTGAACCAGATCCCTTTCACCCCTCTTTTTGCAGACAGTTCTACTACCTTTGGATTTTTGATGTAAAGGAGGTTGAATTTTAGTGGTTTGTTTGAGCGTGTTTCTCCCTATATTGTGTTTGGCACCCTTGAAGAGGTGATTGACCTTGTAAGCCTGCAGTAAAAAGGAAGGTGTGTACAGCAGCCACCTCTCATCTAATCCAGGACATAATCCTAAACCCATGAGGATGATGTTTGGAAGTAGAGGTGTTGGCAGAGGGAAGCAATGGGGAGGTGAGAGCAGCAATATCTAACCCTACAGCCCCAGGGTTCTCCAGAGCCGTACGACAGAAGTGTAAGCCACAGAGAGAGATGAGTGACTTGCTCAAGGTTGCAAAACACATTAGTTTCATGAATCTTTGATAACAAGAATGATGTTTTATAAATAGCACTTACAGAGCAGATCAAAGAAGAAGATACAGCTCAGACATTCCAATTCCCATTCATAGGTTTTTAACCATTATATTGTCTTTCCCTGCAGTAAATTATTAAAAGTGAGCCGAGAACACTTTCTGGCTCTGAACCATTATAACAAGTTGTTAAAAAATGCAGAAATGAATTCTCAAAAACACATTGTCTGAATATATAATTAGGAAAAAAGTCTTTCATTAAATGAATTTCTGTGAGTTGCAAGTTAATATATTTTTTCCTGCATTTTTCTTTAAAGAAAGATAGCTTTTTTTATACAAAATAAAACAATTCAGAGCCTGGAGTGGAAAACCGTTGCCTTATAGTATTTTGTTTTACTGAATACATGTATTATGTATCTGGGTGCTGCAGGTTATAAATATGCTTTAAGCTTGCTGTAATTTATAAGACTTCAATTTTGGCTGATTTATAGGAAATTTCATTAATCTCTACAGCAGAGGGACCTTGCACTGAGCAGCAGATTGAAAATGAACTGAGGGCTGGGGGCTTTAAGAACTACCAGAAATGAATCAGTACTGAAATTCTTAAAATGGTAATGATCGTTTGTAGTGTGAAGGTCTTTTTCCCCCCTAACAGTAAGATCTGTAGCATTTTTGTAGAGGTACCAATGAAACTGCCAACCCTGAAGCTACAGAGATATTTTTCAGCATTTAAATGGCTATTCTTATTTCTGTGTTCAGCACACATTTACTAATGAGGCTTTCTCTGCTGCTGGTGCCAAACAAAAGAATTGAGGAGGAAATATCATGAAATTGGATGATGCTGTGTAACGGTAGGGAAGAACTGATGCTCAGCGTGTTTCTTTTGTGTTTTATTTTCTTCATTTGAAAGAGGCAAGATTGTGCTCTGACATTTGCATGACCTGCTACATGCAGCATTGGAGGCTTTACTCTTAGTCAAACTCTGGTGCAAGAATCATGTTTATAGAGACAGAGATTTTCACCCATACAAAGCAGGAGTCTCCTCCTGCTCTTCATATTACTTGTTGTCTTGTCTTATAATGGGTCAAGAAGGTTAACACGTTGAATATTCTGATGGTTCTTACCTTACTCATTTTTGCCTTTTGAGGCCCTTGTCACTTCTTTCAGCTCTTCCCCTGAGTTCAAACATTTATTTTAGGTATCCAGCACGGTCGAACTTGTTATCTACCGTCCAGCTACATGCATTATACATTGGAATGAACAGGAAAAGGCTCGTGTCTGCCTTTTTCTTATCTCATTGCCAATTACAGCTGACATACATACAAACATTAGAATTTCAATAGCTGTTCTTGCTTCAGAGTTTCATGGAATTGGTAGAGTTGACTGAAAGGACTTGAGAACTCTTTGTTTCAAGAGCACACTTAAATATTTGAGAGTAATTTAATGTTCTCCTTCTCCCCTCTTTCTTTCTTTCTTTCAGGCTATTCAAACTCCAGAAGGACCAACACCAAATAAATTATGAATGTTGAACAAGATGACCTTACATCCACAGCAGATAATGATAGGTCCTAGGTTTAACAGGGCCCTATTTGACCCCCTGCTTGTGGTGCTGTTGGCTCTTCAGCTTCTTGTGGTGGCTGGTCTAGTGAGGGCTCAAACTTGCCCTTCTGTCTGCTCCTGCAGCAACCAGTTCAGTAAAGTGATTTGTGTACGAAAAAATCTGAGAGACGTGCCAGACGGCATCTCCACCAACACCCGGTTACTCAATCTCCATGAGAACCAGATCCAAATCATTAAAGTTAATAGCTTCAAGCATCTGAGGCACCTAGAAATCCTGCAGCTCAGCAGGAATCACATCAGAACAATTGAAATAGGGGCTTTCAATGGTCTGGCCAATCTCAACACTTTGGAGCTCTTTGACAATCGTCTGACCACTATCCCAAATGGGGCTTTTGTATACCTGTCAAAACTGAAGGAACTGTGGTTGAGAAACAACCCCATTGAGAGCATCCCTTCTTATGCTTTTAACAGAATCCCTTCTCTCCGGAGGCTGGATTTGGGGGAATTGAAAAGGCTTTCGTACATCTCAGAAGGTGCCTTTGAAGGTCTGTCCAACTTGAGGTATTTGAACCTTGCCATGTGCAATCTTCGAGAGATTCCTAACCTCACCCCACTTGTAAAGCTGGATGAGTTAGATCTTTCTGGGAATCACCTGACTGCCATCCGGCCAGGTTCTTTCCAAGGGTTGATGCATCTTCAGAAATTGTGGATGATACAGTCCCAGATTCAAGTGATAGAAAGGAATGCTTTTGATAACCTTCAGTCACTTGTTGAGATCAATCTGGCACACAACAATCTAACACTACTGCCTCATGACCTCTTCACACCACTCCGCCTAGAAAGGATCCACTTGCACCACAATCCTTGGAACTGCAACTGTGACATCCTTTGGCTCAGCTGGTGGATTAAAGACAAGGCACCCTCCAATACTGCATGCTGCGCCCGGTGCCACACACCTCCCAGTTTAAAAGGAAGGTACATCGGTGAGCTGGACCTGAATTACTTCACGTGTTACGCTCCGGTCATAGTGGAGCCACCAGCAGACCTCAACGTCACAGAAGGTATGGCTGCAGAGATGAAATGCCGGGCATCAACCTCCCTGACCTCTGTATCTTGGATTACTCCGAACGGATCTGTTATGACACACGGGGCGTACAGAGTTCGGATTGCTGTGCTGAGTGATGGCACGTTGAATTTTACAAAGGTAACTGTGCAAGACACGGGTTTGTACACATGCATGGTGAGTAACTCTGTTGGGAATACCACGGCCTCTGCCACCCTGAATGTGACCGCCCTGGATAACCCCGGTTACACGTACTTTTCAACCGTCACAGTAGAGACTGTGGAACCTTCTCAGGATGAGGCACAGACCACAGAGCAGGTTGGGCCCACGCCAGTTACCAACTGGGAGACCACTAACATGACAACCTCACTCACTCCACAGAGCACAAGATCAACAGAAAAAACATTCACCATTCCTGTGACGGACGCAAACAATGGGATCCCGGGAATAGATGAGGTTATGAAGACTACCAAAATCATAATTGGTTGTTTTGTGGCTATCACTCTCATGGCTGCTGTGATGCTGGTAATTTTCTACAAAATGAGGAAACAGCATCACCGGCAGAACCATCACGCACCAACACGGACTGTAGAGATCATTAATGTGGATGATGAGCTTACAGGTGACACACCCATTGAGAGTCACTTGCCCATGCCAGCAATAGAGCATGAGCACCTAAATCACTATAACTCTTATAAGTCTCCTTTCAACCACACAACAACAGTTAACACAATAAATTCAATACACAGTTCAGTGCATGAACCGTTATTGATCCGAATGAACTCAAAAGACAATGTACAAGAGACTCAAATCTAAAACATTTATGACATTATGGGGTGGGGGTGGGGACAACAAAAGATGGTTTATAAAACAAATGACACAAATGACTGGGCTAAATCTACTGTTTCAAAAAAGTGTCTTTACAAAGAAAAAGAAATTTATTTATTAAAAATTCTATTGTGATCTAAAGCAGACAAAATTATGTGTATTCCTCAGAACCTGTTTTTGCTGCACTTATTTACCCTCCTCGTTCCCTTTTTCCTCCCCAACCTACCCTGACTCCCATTTGCCATATTTTTCATAGGAGATCTCGATTCCCTAAAAGAACTGGTCTAGGAAATTTTGTAAGAATTCTGTTACACTTTGGGAATTTTTATGGTGAATTCTAGTGGTGAGATTCGGTCTATTTTGTCACTTTTTCTCTTTTTTTCTTTTGTTTTCTCATGCCCTTTTTGAAATTATTCCATAGAGAATGGAATAATAACAACAGCTTTATAAGTGAGAAAAACAAAAAAGCTAAACCTTTTTTTCATGTAATGATCTGCTCTGTATTTACCAAAAGCACCATTCTGTGAAAAAAATGGAAGAAAAAGTAAAAAAAAAAAACCAACGATGAAAAAACCCAAGAAATCAATTTACTTGTGAAAAGCTATAAAACCCATGATCTTTTAAACAATTCTAGAACCAGAATTTGTAGTTCAAACACTAAACTAAGATTATAAATAAAATATTGTTTTTTTCTGTACTTGGATATAGCTCATTTTTAGTGTGGCTTTAAACATCGAAAGTTCGTTAAAATTCGTACGATATTCTGCTGTGGTGGTCCAGAACACAATCACTTCAAAGAGAATAATTAAACCATTAAGGATCATTACTGAAGAACAGTATAGTTTTCTTTTAGTTTTCGTAAGCAGCTTTCTGGCCAAGGTGTTTGACTTTTAATGCAAGATTAAGATCATTCTTTCTAATGGTGTTTTCAGTTATCTCTGTTATATTGTAAGATGTTATTTCATGACGCCAGGAAGAGTTTTGCAAGGAGTTTCAGTTATCACTGAATTTATGGGACGAAGCTGAAAATTTTTTTTCTGCTTTTGTTATTTATAACTGTCAATAAGAAAATTCACCTTTATATCAAAGCCAGTGGTTTCCAATTCAGTTTTTCGGGTACTCCTAGGCATAAATGTGAAATATGATAGCTATCTATGATACCTATAATTAGAGCTGTATCCCTATGTGCAAAATGAAATCAAAATGCTGTTAATGGAGTAACTCACAGGAGCAAGCCCGAGGATTTTAGTTTAAAAAAGAAAGAACAAAGTCAGCCAAATAACAGGAGAGTATAGGTTACTTTAATTTGCATGACAATTAGACTCCCTGTAGAGTAACCAGTTTACATTAATTTAAACTCAGACTCATTTACCAGTAGGAAATGTGCACTCTTTTTCTTTCTATTTATATATGTTCTCTGGATTTAGCTTATTGGTATAGGAATGGTGTACACCTTGCATGCTGAAAGCTAAAAGGAAGGCTTTGCATCAGAAAACCAGCTTCGGGACGCTGTGTTCTTCCAAGTAGAAGTTCTGCCAAATTATATGCATTGGCAACTGAATAGAAATATTTTAAGACGCTTTAGTTTAAGAAAAAGAGAATCACCTATATCGTCTCTGAATGTCTTTTCACCTGTTTTCTTCCTTAACCACCCCTTACTGTGAGAGGGTCCTGTGTCAGGTAAATAATGTTCTTAGCTCTTATCAAAATCTCTTTGGAGCTTTCTAGTATGCAGGAGCATGCAGGATGAAGGCCCTACGGAACAGTATACTTCTATTCAGTAAATTTAAGAAGGAATTTCTGCTAGGTTGAGATGGTGAAATATCTGTTGGATTCACAATTCTCAAGGTTGCAAGTGAATATTTTAGTAAGGCAGCCTGATTTAAAGAGGAAACAGTGGAGATAGGTGACGATGAATCACACCCTGCAAGGAGTCAGATAAGAATAATGCAGAATGAAACCCAAAGTTCCATAATAATCTCAAAGAAACATTTGGCAAGACATTATCCTTTGATGTACTACATGCAAAATAATATCTACTCTAAGGGAATTTTAATAGAGGGCAAAGATGGACCTGAATGTAAAACGTTGCAGCTGTGACTCCTAGCTTTGCCTCCTTCTTCAAAGTGCATTAGAGCATTTCATTGGTGGTTTCTTTTCAGCCTTGTGATAGTCTGTACAGAAACATAGCAATTACACATTGCTAATTGTCCTTTGCCCATCTGGCTAGTAACATTATGTTCATGACCAATGGTGATCTAAGGATTCAAAAAATTATTTCCAGGAAACCTAAATCTGGGCCATCTGTAATCAACAGGTTTATGTTAAAAAATTATGGCTAATCTCTAACGAGTATTTGTGAAAGTGCTTTGGTGGTCACCATGGTTTTACAAACAGCTTTTTACTAACTCCTAAAGGTTATGGCTAGGAGGCCTTTACGAAAAAAAAGGTATAGCTATTGCCAAGTGGGACACCGGATCAGTGACAATCTTTATTCCTCTCTGGAGTAAAAAAAAATAACATGAGTGACTGTTTTAAGCAATATATGCATTCTTTCTGAGTGTTAATCCATTTTTATTGGTTAATTTAAAAATTCAGATATTCCTGTTTGCTTATAATAAGGATAAAGAAAAAAGCATTTTGGTGTGTTTGCTTTTGTGAGTATATATGTGTTATGTGAAAACCATATAAGTTATTATTTTCCTAGTAACTTCCCTACCCTTCTTGGAACCACAGAGATTATTTCTGACTTCTTCCTGCTTCTATAAAACACCCAGTGCTTTTGCAGATTAATTAAATGCCAGAGTTAGAGAACAGTTTAAGTTATGAACTAGGCTCTGCAGTAGAGCGAGAGGGATGTTGTACTGCCCGGTTTTCGTGCTCAAACCACGTGCTGATGCAGCCTGTTACTGCTCCAGAGAATATAGTGGTAGGAATGAAGCCCCAGGGCTCTTGAATGGCAGAGTGCAACTGATAGAAAGCTCTGATGAAATTTCTCTTGCAGGAGACCACATTGTGCAGATGGTGTGTGCTGTAGAAAAAAAAAAAAAAAAAAAAAAAATGGAAAAAGAAATGCGCAAAACAATTTGTGATCTTGATTATGAGCTATCACTTTCTAGTGGCCCCATGAGAAAGGTCGAATTATTCTTTGGTACACTGCAGTCTGAAAACATTTGCCTGATGTCGTGTACAAATACAAAGTGCAAATCATTTTCTTTCTGGAACAGTCATCAAGTGTTACAAATCTTGCCATATGCAGAAATAACACATGAAAAGCAAAGCAAGTGAATTCCATTCAGTTCGCCGTACAAGATGGACATTTCATTTTACTTTGAGAAGGGTTAAATATATGACAATTATTGCAGTAATTGTATTTTTTTGCTAAAATATTCTAATGCATTAAAAAATATATGTAATGGTTTCAAGATTCCCTGTCCCCACTGGTGGCATTATAGGTTGATCACAGCATTAGAGAAAAGATAATTAAATTAATATTGTACTTACTTGTATTAGCTTCAGAGTCTTGTGAAAATATTTCCTAACAATTGTTATGAGAATTTTACATGTCAGATATGACTATTACTTTAGACTTTTTAGTAAGGGGAATGGAAAATCTTTCAACCTATTTGCCCTCCTCTAATGTTTATATTCCTTTTTTACATGAGCTAAGTACAGAATTTTGGAAATTTTTTTCCTTTTTTCCTGAGTCCAGGTGGGGAAGGTCTTTGAAACATTAGGACCTGCCTTGCCATTTCATACTAAAAGAAGTAAATGAAGACATAATTTATCCTTATCTTCAAAATGTAATAGGAAGAGTTAGACTTCAGTGTCTGGGTTTCTGTTTTTCTTCGTAGAACTATTTAATGCATCTATTTCTCATTTGTGCAGGTGTTGCTAAAAAAAAAAAAATATTAAAAATCTCATTTCAAACTTGCATCTAAAACTCAGTCACAGTTAGTCTGAAGGCAGTGGCGGACATTTTACTGTGGAGGTGGTATTAGATATTAGTATTGTAGTAGACTTAACACCCAGAGGCATCATTCCTGAAATAACAAGGGCTCATGAACAAGGGATAGGTTAGGGGGGGATGCTGGGAAACCTGCCAGTAAATCTGAAATTTTGGTAGTGGTGCCCAATGGAAACCATGGTTAGGTGTACCTGGTGGCTGGAAGAGCAGAGCGTGGCTGTGAGTTGGGAGCAACTCAAGAGCACAGATGCAGAAGTAACCGAGGAGTAATAGCTCAGCTTCAGCCACGCAGTGTAGGAGTAGAAATGAGGGAAATTTTTAATTAATTTTTTTTTTTTATATTTATCACATTTAATCACAAGTAGGTTTTAAGGCTTGGTGCACGCTTTGAGAATTGAGAACCTGAAGACTCTACAGTGTAGAGTCTTTTGCACAAATGGAAAAGTCATATTTTGGCAAAATGCTAATGCTGATTTGGAGGAATGTGGGACAGTTTGTTCAGTTTTAAGAACTCTATTAAGACAAATGAGATCTGTACTTCAATAGCTACATGCTATTTACTTCAGTCGGAATAAGTCATTTTCTTAGGTGAGATCTGTTAAACAAAATACTGTGTTTAATTTGTCTTCATTTTAGCCCTTGTTTTCATACATTTCTAACTTACACCTGGAGTGTTTGTTAATCAGAGTGCTCTCCAAAGGGCTGAATCAGTGAACGCTGACTGACTTTGATCAGAGAGAAATCTTTCCTGGACTGTAACTCCAGCGTGGTATGGAATTTTGAAACGAGGAGAAGACACTGAAGTTATGATATCAACAAATAATTTTATGGCTATCTTTTGTAAAATAAAAAAGAGGAAAATTAGGTCTGTCACTTTTGAGAGTTTTGAAAAAAAAATCTTACGTAGAAATAGGAAACCTTAGTAAAAAAAAATAGAGGAAATTAGGACATTATTGGACTTTGAAAGTAACAGGAAGATGTAATGATTAAAGCAAAAGTGGGAAGCATATATCCCAGATAATCTTCAGCTCTTTTCTAACACAATTTGCAAACTCCAAAATTTCAGTTACTTTTCGGTGTATCATTTGGCTTGTGCAAGGATTCTGATTGCCCTACCCATAGCTTTGTGGTTTCTTCTAAAATTTTGCAGTACGTGTATGATGTAATCTGGACTTTCTGCTCTGGAACAGTTTCCCAGAGAGAGAATGTAAGGGAATATTCTGCTAAATCATCCAACCTCCACCCATTGGAGGTTCATTTTTAATACTCTGGGGCTTTTTTCAATCTGCTTGAAATGCCTTGTGCAGTGTAAGATTCCTTAATTTCTTTGATCTTCTACTACAATAGTAATATGTGATTCATATCCTAGTTTGGATAAAATGGTTTTGTATGGATTATATTTTCATCAAATTTAAGATATAAATTGCCATTATACTTTATTTTAGTAAAAAAACAATTAATTCTGTTGGCTTGAAAAGTACTTCTGTTCCTTTCATAGTAGCTCAGTTAAACGCAACTAAATTACCAAAAAGGAAAAAAAAAAAAAAAAAAGAAAATTAAAAAAGAGAAACTACATTTTGTAATCCCATGTGTGTATGCTTGTGTCTGTATGTGTGCATTATTTTAAAAATCATTCTACAGGTAAGATTAAAGGAATAAGAGAATGAATGTATAAAAAAAAAAAGAGGAAGATGGAATAAATTAGCTGAGAGAGAATTTAGTAAAGCAGA